CACTTGCTTATGTTGAACCTCATTAGGTTCCTCTCTGCCCAGCTCACCAGCCTGTCCAGGTCCCGCTGGATGGCAGCGCGGCCCTCTGGAGAGTCAGCCACCCCTCCCAGTTTGGTATCATCAGCAAACTTGCTGAGGATACACTCTGTCCCCTCATCCAGGTCATTAATGAATATATTAAACAAAATTGGACCAAGTATCGACCCCTGGGGGACACCACTGGTTACAGGCCTCCAGCTAGACTTCATGCCACTGATCACAACCCTCTGAGTTGGAATGGAATCCTGGGCTGCACAGGGAAGAGTGTGACCAGTAGGTCAAGGGAGGTCATTCTCCCCTTCTACTCGAGGGAAGGCTGAGAGCGCTGGGACTCTTTAGCCTGGAGAAGAGAAGGCTGAGGGGAGACCTTATTATGGCATACACGTATCTAAAGGGTGGGTTGAAGGAGGATGGAGCCACACTCGTCTCGGTGGTTCTCAGTGACAGGACGAGGGGCAATGGGCACAAGTTGGAACAGAGGAAGTTCCGTTCCAACAGACGGAAACCCTTCTTTAGGGTTGGGGTGACAGAGCAGTGGCACAGGCTGCCCAGGGAGGGGGTGGAGTCCCTTCTCTGGAGGTTTTCAAGACCCGCCTGGATGCAGTCCTGAGTGATGTGCTCTGGGCAGTCCTGCTTTGGCAGGGGAGTGGGGCTGGACGGTCTCTAGAGGTCCCTTCCAACTCTGAAAATTCTGTGATTCTGTGATTTTTCTTGTAAAGCCCCTGGAAGTCGTGGGATTACAAGTGCAAAATAAATGACAATTGCCATTAACGAAGTTATGGGTATAACATAAATACGTCTTCAAATGACCAGAACGCTTGCTCACCGTTGTCGTCCTCTAGTGCTGGAAATCTGGACAATTCCCTCTAACCTATTCCTGCCAATTCTATGATTTTAAAGGAAAATTCTTCCAAGTTCCTGTCCTGCAGCAGGAGGGGGCGCAGCGGAAGGCAGCGGCGCTCCCGGGGGATGTTGGGCGCACGGAGCTGGGGGGCAGGAGGTCAGCGACCCCCCGTAACCGCAGCCCCGCTTTGAAATATTCTTTGAGTTACGTATTCGGCTCCACTATTCTTATTTCGAATCAAGAGCTTGTAAGCCTGGATAACGGAAATGTATTGATTCAGAGGGGCTGGGTTTGGTTTCCTCAATGGCTTACGCGTAGAGGATTTAGAATTTCAGTATTAGACTGTTAACGTTTGGAAAAAGAAATCATAACTACAACTCTCAGTTTGGAGTAAAGAGAAAAAGCAAGCACGAGAAAATGCTGTCTTTCCACATAAAAGAAAAGTGAATTAAGAATTACTAATTAAGAACAATTAGCGGATAAACTAAATAATAACCCACATAAAAGGAATTATTCCTGTAACACAATACTAAGGGAGGAAGAAACTAGTTTAGCAGCGGCACGCTTACCTTGTCTTTACTTGTGCCTCATCGCTCCGAGACCGGGCAGATTCACCCAAATTGTCCCAGGGGAGCGGCGAAGGGCACCAGGAGAAGATCCAGCAGCAGCGGTTTGGCTTCTTCAAGAGAAGTTGTGCATTTTTTTGTGTTTCATAAAAATACACGATGTGAGTTGATGGAATACGAGCGCTTACCAGCGTGGTCAGAAAAAGACTCATGCCCACATAGAGGTATACGCTGTAGCGTGAAGAACCGTTTAAAATGCTTTAAAAGCCGTTTTTAATGGAGAAAAATCTATTTTCTTCCAAAATAAAGCCACCACATAAACCAGAAGGACATTCCTTAAATGCCGAAGACTTACAAATAGTTATATTCTATGCGTCTTCTGACCCAACTTTGGAGTAAGATTGCCCCTCCGACACCGGAATTTCCAACCTAAACAGCTTTCATTTTACAGAGCTGTTCCTGCAAAACCTCTCGGAATAATTTTCAGAAGAACAACGACATTTTCAACATTTGCAACCCAAAAATAAGGCGGGAACTCTGCTTGAATGCGGCTGTTAAGCAACCCAAGAGCCAGGCTTCCCCTCCTCGCCTCTGCGGCCGTCGGAAGGGCACTGCCACAGGGCTACAGGAAGCCAAAAAGGCCAAGCCACAAGACAGGCGCGTCAGTAATCATCGTGGGGATATAATTCAGGAATAAACCAACCACTCACTTGGCAATTAACAAACCAACTCCACAAGTGTACCCAATTAACTTGCAAAAACCAAATTATTTTTTTTTGTTTTCCTTCTGTATGACAGCATTAAGTTCTCTGTAAGTTAAGCAACACATACGTTCCACACCAAAGTGCAAAAAATTGGGTGTATTTCAGTGTGCCGATTATGCCGACCTATGGAAAACAGCGCAAGTTCAGAGGACTGAAATTCATGCAAATCTGCTGGATACAAGTGAAAACTTGTCCCAAAACATTCCTGTGAAAATATCTTCCGTTTTCACAGAATTTTGTTTGTAAAAAAGACAAAGCGCTCTTTGGAAGTTTATTCAATACCTCTTCGGTTGACACACCAAGACGGAGAAGGTACTGAAGAGGCACTTGGGGAAAATTCACAAATATTAAAGATCCCTTTTTAAAAGCAAATGGGCTTCCTCAAAACCCGCCAGCTCTCGGGTGAACTCACAGCAAAGGGGGAGACTCTGCTCCAATCTTTTGCGTCTCTTCTTTTGAAAGGTTTGTCACACTGCAATTCTCATCATTTTCCCCCGATTTGCAGTACTAAAAACTCTTAATTTTGGGGTACGTTTGCTCTTTTTGAAAGCCCCCAGCACATTCAGTTGCCGTCCCAGCCCCCGATGGAACGAGTCTTCCTTTACCTAAAGCTTTTACTTTTCTTACTGACATGCTAAATACACTAAAAAATTTCTTTTTATTCCTCCAGTTAGCTGCATGACAAGCGGTTATTAACATGTTTTATAATAGAGAATTGCCAACAGAGTAGCCATTTCCTTCAGAAACCGACTCCAGAAGGTGTATTTGAGGCTCTACACAGATTAAATAACTATCACAGTACCTCAAGAAACCACAGTAAGACTATCTTTCTGGTTTAAAAATGTTTATTTAAAAGAAGAGGAGATCTATACCCAGATGGTCAGAAGAAAGAAAACAAAAAGAAATTCCTCAGTTTCCTCCCCCCCCAAATCATTACTCCACAATTTACCTTTCCGTTAAGTTTCAGCTTCAATGTTGTATTTAAAAAAAAACAAAAAAACACCCTGAACTTTCATTTCCTTTTCCTATGCCGTTAGACCTGAGGAAATTAAGTACCTTTCTCTGAAGGGTTGCATGGGATGTGAGAAGAAACCGCAATAAAATTTATTCACAATATACAAGTATAAAAATATCTTGCTTAGGGTTCAGTATTATAATTTAATAACTTTTTGTTGTTTCATAGGTATCTGGGAAAGGTACAGACACGTGTCCTGATCCTGTTACAAGAGGTAGAATGCCAGCATTTGGTACAACATTCCAAGAGAGAGTCAAGGTGACGTTCCTGTTTCCCCTGCAAATGCAACAAAGACTATCAGCAGAAATACTCCAGTTAACCAATTTAACCAATAATTACAAGAGGGAACGGGCACAAAGGTGACCATGGGCAGTTCCATCCCCACCTGAGGAGGGCCTTCTCTGCTGTGAGGGCGGCAGAGCAGTGGCAGAGGCTGCCCAGAGAGGTGGGGGAGTCTCCCCCTCTGGAGCCATCCCAAACCCGCCTGGACGCCGTCCTGTGCCACTGCTGGAGGTGCCCCTGCTCTGGTGGGGGGTGGGATGGGGGAGCTCCAGAGGGCCCTTCCAGCCCTCACCAGTCTGTGCAATTGTTTTCCTCATCCAGAAGCAACAGGCTTTTTATTTTTATGCAGTTACTTCATGAAGTAGTACCTATTTTCCATATAAGATTGTTATCTTTTTTTTTTTTTTTTTTTTTTTTGACTGTTCCAAAACTCCTTTGGAGTTCAGTGTGTCACAGAACCGGCTCTACAGTGAGAAGAACACTGGAAGCAGAAACCTAGAATCCCATAGCTTAGCAGCACACTCCCCAGCCTACAGAAGAAGCAGGGCGTCTTGTGTCCCAAGGCCGTCTTCTAACAATCCAACTAGCAAGGCGTAACAGCCTGAGAGAGTATCAGAGAGAATATACATACCTCACCCACAGAAATAAACACCCATACAAAATGCAATGTATGCAAGCAAATCAGGACACCATGAATAATAATGATGATGATAAAAAAAAAAAAAAAAAAAAAAGGATTTACTTACTTGAGGCCATTTCCATCATCAAAGAAAAAGTACTTTGACTTCATGTCTTTTAAGAACAGCCTTGGGTTATCTCCTCTCAACATGATTTTGTCCCAAAGCACCACCTGGTTGAGAGCCTAAAAACACAATTGTAATTAAGTAGGGAAGGTACCTTACGAGATCACATTCAGCTACTGGAATTTCATAGCATTATTCATCTAAAAACCCCAAAGTTGAAGTACACGCTTGCAATCCATAACTAATTTAACAAAATAATGCTTTACAGAGTGGGGGAAACTAGTACTACTACACACCAAAGTGTGGCATAGAATAAACAGAAACAACAAAGAACAGCTCAATAAAACATGAGAAACTTAAAAAACTCATAAGCTTTCAAAGACTTACAAGGTATCACGGGTTTTTCTTCTGAATTGCAAAGGTAAGCTGCTTTTAAAGCAGTATTTAGACTTCATTTCAAATAAAGGACTTAAACCGAGCTACTGTGATACCGCCTAGGTATTCAACATTTTCCCAAATTTAATGGAAAAAAATCTCTACCTGAATTACAAATGTAACCCCAACAATTGTATGAACAATTCAAATGACAGATACCAAATTCTTGATTGTTTGAAACTTTATAATGTTTTTTTAAGTAATCAGGTGTTAAAGTCTTGTTTAGTACCTTATAGAACAATTCAGAAAAAAAATATTTCTCAGTATTTGTGACAACTAGTGATTTGTGTGGAAAAGAAAATTAAACGATGAAACAAGACAATGAAGTCCCAGACCCTAATAAAGAACCCTAAAAGTGATCTTAGTACAAACACAATACCCTCCAGCATGTATAAAATAACTTAAGTACTTTTTCTTTAAAAAAAAAAAAAGAAGGGAGATAGTTTTGTGTAGCAAGTTGAAAAAAAAACACCTTTAAGCCTTCACTAGACCCTTGCACTGTAACCACAGTAGGTTAAACTAGAATTCAGGGGTACCATGGCAGCATCGTGTCTCATTAATTAATTTTTCCATATGCTGTTCCACACAGCTCCTGTCAGATCACTGAAAAAAGTCTGTGGCGGTCCAAAGTCAAATATCAGTAGCAACCAATTCAAAGGATGCAGCAAGGCCAATTATTTCGAGAAGGATGACAAGATCACATAAATATATTATATGGCTACAGTAACTGGTACAGGCAAACCCTTTTGTGATCTACAAACAGAAGACCCACCACACCCGGCCAGACCAGAGGCCGCTGTATCTTTCTAACAACAATCAACACCAGAACTTTAGGGAACAGTAAAGCCCACAGAGCAAATAAGTGAAAAAACCCTCATTTACAGGTCACTACTGTAACTGAACAACAGGGCATGTATTACTTTTCTTCTGCTCTGCTGGGAACACATCAAGTTGAGTTTCACGAGGGTGAACTTCCCACCCTGAAGTTAAAGTGTCATGAAAACAACAGTCGTGAAGGCCAGTGAGAACAGTGCAAGCTAGGAGGAAACGCTGCTGCCTTAACTCTTCCCAGAAGAACTTCAGAACGTTAAAAATAGCTGCAGTACAAAAAAGGGTAATTGCTTCAACTTTCTTTATGATACTTACATTGTTTTTCGTTGAATATTCTGCAGACAAATATAGAAACAATTGTTTAACATTCCAGTCAAATATACTCTGCAGATGTATGCGTGTTAAGAAAAATACCATATTGTACTTACATAACCTTGTCTTTTTTTTACTAGATCTAAATAGACTATGATAATTCCAGTGAGCTCTTACATTTCAACATACCTCATCTTATTTATAAATCAGGGCACTTCCAGGAGTTCTAACATATATTTTAATCATATTAAAGCAACAAGTTTTTGGTTTGGTGGTTGGTTTTGGGTTTTTGTTGTTTTTTTTTGTTTGTTTGTTTTTTGTTTTTTTTTACTATTTATGAAATCTAACAGCTATTTCCTCCAACGATTTAGGAGTTCTATATTTGACACTGCAAACTAGTAACCATAAGCTGCTGCTAGACAATCTATCGTAAAACCTTAAACATAAAAGGCAAGACAATTCTTCAGTAAATATCTTCAAAGCTATTATTTATACTAACAAAGAACTCTGGTATCCAACTGCGGATTGAGATACAATAGCATTATACAGCACATAAATACAAAATTGGTGGAGTGCAGAGAGTTCACAGAGCCGGTAACACCCACCTTCGAGAAGTTAGTAGGTGGGAAGTATTTCACATTGGAAGGGACACCAGGAATTAGCAAATTTAATTACCTACTTACTACAAAGAAAGTCAGCTTATTAGACTGGAACAAAACTCTCTTCTGATTTTTGATCAACAGTAAAGACTTGATGACTGCCATTTGAGACTGCCTGTATAATAAAGCTGATATTCTAAATACCTGTCTGTTGATTTAGCAATAAAATGCACTGTGAGTGACTGCTAAGGAAAAGACCTTTTAACTCACAGCAAAAATCAGCTGTAAACTTTTATTTCCCAGTCCTCTTTTTTATTCTATTTGCCACTATCTCAAAGAATAAATTAAACACATTCCCCAACCAGCCTCAAAATCTGTTCTATCTTGTTCCACTCACCCCAAGACTGCATCAGGGTTTTAAGCCGGTAATTCAAAAGGAAGAATTAAATAATTAATTGCCATTGCTACAAGAATAGCTGGAGCTATTTTACTTGAACATTTTTCATCATCTAACTCAAAGCAACAGACAAGATTCTGAAATTCCCCTTTGCAGGATTTTGTAACACTTGCTAAAGTCAGCCACGAATTAAGGAAGCTAAAATGAGTTTGTGAAAACTGGCTCCTTCCCCTTCCTTTCCCTTGTTCCTTTTTCTAACTGTCATTTTATTTAATTCTCCCTAGGACTAACATGTCATTTCCATTAGTTAAGAGAGCCCACGTACCAGTATCTCTTTATAGATTTTGTCAAAAAAAAAAAAACAACCACCAATCCAAAAACCCAAACTACCAGAAAGTTGTATTTTACAACCCTACACATCTACACACTACAAGGCTTAAGGTATGAAAGATTAAGCCAGAGTTTTTAATAAAAAAGAAAATTAAAATTGCTGCTACTATTAAAAGTCATTAAAACATGGAATATTTACGTCCACATACTGCAGACTAATCCTTGTATAAGAACATTTCTTTCAGAGGTCCTGTCCTGCCTTGCTCTGCCCTCCCCTGTACACACTGCATACAATTCAGTTCATCTACTTTAGAACTTTAGCCTCTGGTTTTAAGTCTGAAATGCTTATACATATTAAGGGTTCACCTCTCCTGCTTTCAGCTGATAAAAAAAAATAAATCCCTTATTCCTGTGCAACACACACCTGCAAAAATCTGACTAACCTGTTTATCCAGCATTCGCATGCATTCAAGATCTCTGTTTCATTTGGTTTGTCTACAGATGCAGTATTCTCCAAAACAGGGAAACTGGAACACAGAGGTAATCAATGTCTTGCCTAACACGGTGACAAAAAACAGCAGACAGGGAAAAATCCCAGGAATCTCAGCCCAGCTGCAAAGCAAGGCTTAGTGTAATCACCTGAGGTAAAGCATGCTGCCTCATATTTAGTACTGACCTCTGCAGAAAAACACTGATTGGTTTTACATCAAGACCCTAAATCCTACAAATTATTCCCTTCTACTATCAAAAAGCCTACCCAAAACAAAACCAAACAGAAACAACCACGCACAACCCTCCTTCCACAATAAAAAACAGACAACAGGGAAGTAGAGAAATACAAAAGAAAAGTTGCAAAAAGGTAACGGCAATGAGAAAGAGGCCAAAAAGTAGTGTGATAAATTTCGTAGTACTTCATATGCTTCCCAATACCTTTTGTACTATTCAACATTAAACATTTGATAGTTGAACATCTAAGCAAGTAAAGGATTACAATGTCTTTTTGTTTTTAAAGTAAGACAGGTACTTGTATGCAAGCATTACGCAGAAAAAAGCCTCACAACAAAATGAGTTTGAAAGGTGCACTGGAGTTTCTAGATTCAGTAAGACAGTTAAAATGCTATGTTATATAAACCCTCTAATTAATTCACCCCTCAAACCACCAATACAAACTTCACTTAATAGTAATATTGTCCAGATGTTAAAGTGCATTTCCCATTATTAGATAGAGTGCACTTCACTACAGAAACTGGTTTTAAAAATAGGCATTAAAAAAAGAAAAAACAACTTGCCTTGGGTCATCTACTAGAGACAGAACAGCTATTCCAAGTTCTACTTTACTGCCCTAGCTATGCAGGACACTACTTTCAGTGCTTTAAATTTATATTTTAAGACAAATTGTTAGTTCTCCTCAAGTCCTGAGTATCTGAAGATTGTAAGGTAACAACAATAGATGTCAGGATGTTCTTATTTCAAAATGTTCGCAAACCATTTTTTCCATTAAGGATATCTGCAGTAATGTCAAATGTGACGAATCCCAGATCACTTCTTTCTCTAGGTCCAGTGAAATCTTCTACATTTTTTCTACGACAAAAGAAAACACAAGATTATCATTTCTCATTATTTCTCTTTCATGAATTACATAAATTATTATTCTTATTATACATCTCCCTTATCTATTTTTTGTACTTTCTTTTAAATATTTTTGGCTAAAAACATAATCAACGTTACAAAATAAAACCTGCCTTCCAGTTTATAGTGCCCCAGTTTTGAATGACAGACCTTGCCAGGACAGGAGTTTAAGCTATACAAAATCTATAGACTTTTTCCTGTTAATGAAAATCGGTATCTATCTGTACCTAAACTTGACCACATTTCATTTTAATAAAACATGCGTTAGCCATCCCCAAATATACAAAGCTGATTGGGACCCTAGTAGCATAGCTGTCTGCTGGCAACCATTTTCAATTATTATTTCTTAACTTTCCATAAATAAAAGCCTCTAGTGCTCAGTCTCATACAACACACTCCCAACCATTCTGAAAAGCAGAGTTCATGTTTGCAGCTCACAGAACAGAAATGATTTCTCCCTGGAACGCATGTGAGTAGCGGTATAAAGAAAATGCTTATTTTCTTCTACATTATGGAAAATAACAGACACAGCAGATGTTTTCATACGTATTCACAAAGCTTATCAATTTACCAAACTTACCCTGTACAAAGAGGACTACTGTAAGCAGGATGGCAATCAGCTATGAGCCTTAATTCCTCATGCAACAACAATTTTATGAATTATGAACTTAGTTACATTTATTCAAGTTTGAAAATTCATCCATTAAAACACAATTTTATTAAAACTAATCTTAGTAATCTCAAAGAAAAAAAAAGTACCAGCAGAAAAAAACACTTTTGGAAACAGTATTAAGAAAAACACCACCAAAACTTCCCAATTTAAGCCTTGCTATGAATTTCCATCCTTCTGGAAAAAGCAACACCTTTTTAACTAGTAACCCTTATCAAGCACTTGACTTCATTTCTGAATCACTGTCAATCTGGGGAGTAACGAGGTGTGCAGAACTCAGAAATTCAAGAAAAGCAACTAAGGTATAACATCTCTCATTAACACCAGATCTGTGCATCCTGGAAGGGACTGGCACAACGTTATAAATCTAATCCAAATTAGAATCGTAGAATCCCAGGTTGGAAGGGACCTCAAGGATCATCTGGTCCAACCTTTCTCGGCAAAAGCCAATCTGGACAAGATGACCCAGCACCCTGCCCGGGTGAATCTTAAGAGTGTCCAATGGTGGGGAATCCACCACTCCCCCGGGGAGATCATTTCAATGGCTGAATGTTCTCAGTGTGAAAAATCTTCCTCGCGTCCAATCAGAATCTCCCCTGGAGTAACTTGTACCCATTATCCCTTGTCCTTTCCATGTGATGCCTTGTAAAAAGGGAGTCTACATCTTCTTTGTAGCCACCCTTTAAGCATTAGTATACTACAACCATAGAATGGTTGGAGTTGGAAGGGACCTTTAAAGGCCATCTAGTCCAACCACCCTGCCATCACCAGGGCCATCTTCAACTAGCCCAGGTTGCTCAGAGCCATGTCCAACCTGGCCTTGAACACCTTCAGGGACGGGGCACTGACCACCTCTCTGAGCAACCCGGGCCTGGGTTTCGCCATCATCATTGTAAGAAATGTCTTCCTTATATTTAGTCTAAGTCTTCTCTCTTTCAGTTTAAAGCCATTATCCCTTGTCCATTTGCAGCAGGCCCTGCTAAAAAGTTTGTATACAGGTCTCCTGGAACCCCTTTAGGCATGGGAATGGGCTCTGAGGTCTCCCCAGAGCCTTCTCTCCTCCAGGCTGAACCCCCCCAACTCTCTCAGCCTCCTGCCCTCCCAGCAGAGGGTCTCCAGCCCTCCCAGCATCTTTGTGGCCTCCTCTGGACTCGCTCCATATTTCAAGCTCACCGGAACACCCAAACCCATGCTTTTATGCTGGTTTTATGCTGTTTGCACTCCTCAATCCAGTGTAAATACAGGGGTTTATTTTCCTGAGATATTAAACCAATCCAAAATGCAACAGCAGTTCCCCCTCTTTATTTGCATTCACCTCCCCTTTCATTGAATCGTTTTGGTTGGAAAAGACCTTTAAGATCATCAAGTCCAACCATCAACCTAAGACTGCCAGCCCCACCACTAACCCATGTCCCTCAGCACCATGTCTACAGGTCTTTGAAATCCCTCCAGGGATGGTGACTCAACCACTTCCCTGGGCAGCCTGTTCCAATGCTTGACAACCCATTTGGTGAAGAAATTTTTCCTAATATCCAATCTAAACCTCCGCTGGTGCAACTTGAGGCCATGTCCTCTTGTCCTGTCACTTGTTACTTGAGTGCCCTCACTGCTCCCACCAGACGTGTGCTCCAGACCCCTCACAGCTCCGCTGCCCTTCTCTGGACACGCTCCAACACCTCAATGTCTGTCTTGTCCTGAAGGGCCCAAACCTGAACACAGCACTGGAGCACAACCCCTGCGCTCACCACCCGCTCCTGTCACACACCTCGGGCCGGTCCAAAGCTCCCTGGGCTGATTTAGCTCGCCAACTCGGCCAAAACCCAACTAAACAAACTCATCAGCTGCGTGAAAACAGCCCATTTTCCTGTCAGCACCCCCCCTCCAAATGCCTGCGCGGCTCCGGCGAAGGACCAGAAGCAGCAGCCGAAGGCCCAGTGCGGGCGGGCGGGGCCGCC